CTTTTAAAAATAGAAAATAGTATGTAGCATAAAGTAGAAAAGTATATAACTCATTCATTGGTGAACTTAAATTTAAAGTCTTTGATCAGAAAAGGCGCTTTCATTAACCCACCAGATTTTAAACAGAACAAAATATTTTTCAATAAAAGTGTATTTAAAACCTGTAGTTTACTTTCTCTGAGAAATCAGCACAGTATTTAGGTTAAACCTACTGAAAATGATGGGATATTACGGGCCACGGAAGCTCTGATGGAGGGAGGGATGGGTGTGCACATGTGTGCTTGTGTGTGTGCTTGTGTGTGTGCATGTGTGTGTGTGTGTGCGTGTGTGTGTGTGTGAGAGAGAGAGAGAGAGAGAGAGAGAGAGCGTCCTTTAACATGAAGTTATGAATATTTGCTGGCAAAAAATACAACGTCTGCACAAGCAAAAAAGAAAATGGTGGGACTTTCTTCTTCTCCTCCTCCTCCTCCTCCTCCTCAGTATTATTATTATTATTATTATTATTATTATTATTATTATTATTATTATTATTATTATTATATCTTTAGTGAGATTCACAGCCTTTGGGGCTGGTTGGTAGCTCAACAGCTCGAGTCCTAACCAAGGACCTAGGAATTGTTCAGGTAGCGTCGGAGGGATATAAACTGTTCCAAGTAGGGTGGTTTTTTGTAGAATCAAGGTATTCAGGTCTGATAAATTCAGAATTTCCAAATAGTGAGGTAGCCCTTTAGGTATTGCTCCAAGGGCTCCAATTATAGTTGGGATAACACAAAATTTCTTTTTCTAAAGTCGCTCAACTTCAATTTGTAAGTCCCGGTACTTTGTGATTTTTTCTTGCTGCTTGTCTTCAATTCGTGCATCACCAGGTATTGCAATGTCAATGAACCAAACCTTTTTCTTTTCAACTATTGTTGTTGTTATTGTTGTTATTATTATTACACAAAAATGACAGTATACACAGCAAAAGAGATAACTATGCTGGGTTTCGTATCACAAATCACTAGTCAAACACTTCCCAAGTGTTTAGGACTGCGTGATGTATCAGCGGATTATGTGGGCAGATCCCAGTAAGGTGGCCTTCTGCAGCTGACCAATGGTGACCTTGTCAGTGTCAATTGTTTTTAAGTGCTTGCCTAGGTCTTTAGGCACAGCACCCAGTGTGCCGAGTACCACTGGAACCACCTGCACTGGTTTATGCCAGAGTCTCTGCAGTTCGATTCTCAAGTCCTGATATCTGGTTGTTTATTATTATTATTATTATTATTATTATTATTATTATTATTATTATTATTAAATGCGTGATTCAAAGGAGGATTATGTTTTTGTTTAGTTGTTTACTCATGTGTAAATGTAATAGACTTAATAAAAATTGTATGATTCATACTTCAATTTTATTTAATTAGGTTGGACCCAAAGTTAAAGCCATATTTTTTTTAATAAGGAATACAGGCTTGCATTGTGAACTTCTTTAAAAATGTGTCAGTGTTAAAAATATAGACGTTCATTTGCCACAACTAAAAAGCATACCACCGTTTAAAAATACAGTATTAAGATGTGTTTAAAAATAACAACAACATAAGAGTATAATTGTTTCCAAAGACTTCTAGGAAGCATGGAGAGCTTATTCAATTTTTGTCAAAATAAGTTTCTCCAATATCTGCAAAAGAAAAGAAATTAAGTTACTTGTTTAACAAAACTAGAAGTCATAATAAATGAATCATACAAAATAAAGAGCCACGTTATAATCTGTTATGCTATAAAAATCAATGATAACATAATTTATTCAACATCTGGAAATAAAAAAGGAAAACATTTCCACATATGTTGTCCACAAATTATCTTATGTCTCCCTTAATATAAAACTTGGAGGATCCACATTGATTTAAACCATATCTTTATGGTTCATATCCTTAAACCAATGAATATCAAAGAAAAGATTACTAATATATCATGATAATGGAGATGCAGACAAGCTTTTAACAGCCGAGGCTCATATTTTTATTTCTATTGAGCTGATATGGCTGAGACTTCCAGTGTTTTTCTTCCAGTGTTCTGTTGAAAGAAGCCAGATTGAAAAGTGGTTTTGAGTGTGATTAGACCTAAATGAAGACTGACTTTTCTGTAATATTCTCACTGGAAAAAATGGGAAATCACATGCTTTTTCTTGAACAGGTGTCACCAAAGCTCAGTAATGTGATTTTTGTGACCTTCCTCCCCAAAGAGGAAGCCACAGACTGCCCAAAATGCAGAAGAACTTTTCTTTTCCACTACATAAAATAATAATTCTTCACATTGTTTGAACTACTTTTGCTGCTGAACTAACTTATCAACTCAGCTTATCTTGACGTATGTTTGGACTTTGGAGACACATTTTTGGAAGCATAGTCCTTTCAGGAATTCCTGATTCCTTTCTCCTTCAAAACTTGGGTAATGCACGGGAAAATGAGCTAGTCTTGATTTGATGCTGGCAAATCAAAAACCCCTAGCTGAGGAAATGGAAGAAGGAGGGATATTGGAAGGGTGACCCTGATGCTTGAATGCTTGACAAAAATTGAGAGGAGACGAACAGGTATCCTGGACTTAAAAAACTGTTTTTAATAAATGCAGTAACATTCCACATCAGCATAAGCTAATGGGAAAAAGAACTCAGCATGGATGCAAATTCCTAACGAAGGGGATACTAACAACAAATATTGCAAATGATTCTAATAAATGTGGCTGCACAAAACAACTAGCGAGGGCCTGAGAAAAAGAATATATAATAAGAAATGTAAAGAGGAACAAATCACAAAGAAAGGATAGAAGTAGGTAACTTGAGACTGCAGAACTGATTTCATGAAAATAAAAACTCAAAATTCACTGACATTAGTCAAAAATGGTGTGGAGACAATAACTTGATCCTGAACACCAATAAGACCAAGGAGCTTATAGTGGACTATAGAAGGAATAGATCAGACACCCAACCCTTGCTTATCAATGGAGACAAAGTGGAGCAAGTGGCCAATTTTAAGTTTCTGGGCGTTACCATAAAAGAGGACCTCACCTGGGGTGCTCACATTGCAGCATTGGTCAAAGGGGCCCAGCAGAGATTATACTACCTGAGTCTTCTCAGAAAACAACAACTGGATGGAAAACTGCTGGTGACCTTCTACTGCTGCACCATAGAGAGTATCTTAACTTACTGCACCTGTGTATGGTTTGCCAATTGCACAGTAGCAGATAGGACAGCACTCCAGAGGGTTAACGTCATTGCCCAGAAGATCATTGGTCCTCCTCTCCCCTCTTTGGAAGAACTTTATAGCTTCCGCTACCTTAAGAAAGTTCAAAACATTCTTAAAGATCCATCTCATCCTGGGAACCCATTTTTTGAGCTATTACCAACTGGCAGATGGTACAGGATAGTAAAAACAAGGACAAATTGGCTGAAAACAGCTTCTATCCCAAGGCAGTAAATATATTGAATTCTACATATAGTGCAATATTAATACAATATCAGGTTTTCAATTCAACTGTATAGAATGTGAAGGATGTCTGTTTGTGTTTTATTTTTATAGTTATAATGTACACTGATTATGGCACTTAATTTCATTGTACAAGTTGCAATGACAATAAAGTAAACTAAACTAAACTAAAATGGTAAGTATAATTTTAAAAAGTATATTTAGGTATATCCTAAATAAAAGGAAAATAAAAGAATCAATATATCAAACTGTTCTGGGAAGATAAGATGCTAAGAGATAATAAAGAAATGGAAGAACTATTTTAATTCTATTTTGGTTCAGTTTTCTTTGACCTCAGGTCCCCCACATACTGCCACCCTCGCAAAAATATATTCCACTGAGAAAATCAAAATGGCAGCAGCGCTGATGTTCATGTCTGACAGAAACATGATCTTCAGGGAAAAATAAACCACATTCCAAACACAGAAAGAATGAAATCTGAATGAAGCCTTTTGAGAAATCTTAGAGAACTGATGAGAGTGACAGGTGACTGGAGTAGAACAAATGTCAGCCTGATGTTCAAAAAAAAAGAAAAAAAAAGTGGCAGTAAACTACAAACCAGTCAACCTACATCAATATTTAGAAGGATATTAGAGCAGATCATAAAAAGAGGTATATGCAAGCACCATAAAAACATGGATTTGTCAAGAACAAGATTTGCAATATCAATACATATCTTTTTTTAATTAACCTTCTTAAGAAATTATAAGAATACAATTCTTAGTAGACGTAGTAGACATAGTATATTTGGATTGTTGGAAAGCAGTTAATGATCAGCAAAATAGTTAAATATGGGCTGGATGGCACAATAGTTTAATAGCAGGCTTGAAAATAGTATTCAGACAGTATTCAATATAACTCATACTCAGCCAGCTTGGCCTCATCATATTGGAGACAGAATTGGATGCCAAGAAAAGAAAAATCAGTGCTTGGGGCCTCTTCTTTTCAGTAGTAATGACTTGAATAAAAGATTTATCTTAGAAGACAAAATTAAAATTATAGAAATAGAATGAAATTTACAGAATGCTTAATTCTGCACATCCCAACTTGAATACTACGTACAGTTCTGGGCTCTACATCTTAAGAAGGATGCAGAAAAAAACTGAAACTGAAGGGGAACAAGGATGATAATCAGACTACAAAGCAAGTCTAGTGAAGAGAAACCGAAAGAACTTCATACTAAGCATTAACTTCAGACTTAACAGTAATGTCCAGCAATGCTTCTGGATCCCATATTGACCTCACCGCCATCCTTGGAAACAAAATGAGGGGCTAGCTACATCTTTCTGTTTTGTTTGTGCACCCAACTGTCTGCACTCATCCCAAAAGACAAGGTGGTACAGATCACTGATTGCTTTTTGATAAATGACTGTCTGATGATTAGCCATGGCAGTTGCTTTGTGGAAGTACTCATTAGCCCAGATCCTCTCAAAAGTCTGGGAACTCTTGGTTCACAGAGTAAAGCAACATCTACTGATGTTCTCAAATACTCACTTTTGGTTGTTGATGTCTTAGAATAGTCCGTTTACTTCCCCAGTCACAGGATCCAGATCAATGTCATAGAAACAAGGCCTGGTAGGAAGTCCTGGCATTGTGCTCATCTGGGAATAAAAAAAACAGCTGGTCTGAAACACATATTCCAAAATTACTTGGTCCTGGGGCCAAGAATCTAATCACTTCCTTGCTGGCTAGTACACCTTGAGCTCCCTGGAACTCTTGTTTTATACTGAAAAGCCCAGCAGAACAATTTAACTTATTTGATTTGGAATTCAATGCATCTGGAAAATGTTATCCACACACAATGCACATCTATGTCTGTGCTGTTATTTCATCATGACATCATAATTTGCTTTGGTTGACCTCCCCAAAAAAGTTGTAAGTTTTATTAGCACCATCCACCAAGTAGTGAGATAATTTTCAGGGATAGGTGGATTCATCAGTCAAACTACAATTGGGTTTGTTCTGAAAAGTTGCTTCTGATAGTCCTTTTCTCTTTCTTTCCACTTTTCCCTAGCGTAAGAGCCTATTTTAGAAGGTTAGGTCTTTGCATAATGGGTACAAAATAATATAATTTGAGCCTGGTTATTTGTGCTTCAGGTGAGGAATCTGAATTGATCAGTTCTATTACTCATGCTCATTACACCTTAAAAACTGTTCCTACTTGTTCTTACAACAGCATAAGAATTCATTCTAAATAATCTATGTTTTGTAATTTTGGCTTTTGGTCAAGTTCTCTGTCTACGAAGACTAATGTGGTAAATGCAATCTAGGGATGTGGTGGGAATACCATTAATTCCCACCCTGAGTTTTTTTGCCTACTAGAATGGAGACTTATCATTTCCAGAATTCCATTTACAGGACCACAAAAACCAGGATTTTGACCCTTGAATTCTGAAAGGTACTTCTGCAGGCAGCCAACGTGATTAGTTAATAGAAGGTTAGATTGATCACTTTTGCAGACCTCAGCCGCCGCCTGTGTCATTGCGAGGGCCATAAATCAATGAGAAGTTGCTATAACACACTCACAGGCTAGGCAGACAAATGACCTAACAATTTATTCATGTAAAATAAACTGGTATAAAAAGAAGAAATCCTCCACATAAATCTTTTTGTTGTTGTTGGATTTATAACTTCCAGACTATACCGAGTATAGATTACTTAATCCTTTCAACAAGAAAAATATTTACTTTCAAGATACGTTTGCTCTATCTCAACCACACATTTCATTAAACTTGAAATTATCATTTCTGCTTTGGCTAAGGCTACAATCATGTACACACTGAGTATAGGATATGTGTATAGAATATAAACATCTTAAAGGTCTGAGCAATTATTGGAGAGGGGAGCACTAGGGTGTTTTCCTACATAAATCTTTTCCTTGCAACACGACACCTTCAACTGTATGCCCCGCTCTTTCCCCTTTCTCTTAAAAAGCTAAACTAGGAAGGAGATTCAGTAATTTTTCACCCTATATTACTTTTCCTAGAAACTTGTCCCGTTACTTTAAATCCAGGATGGGATACTTATTTCAATGTCTTCATTGGAAATATGAGAAAGACATTTTTGTGACTGTTATACAAGGCAGCAGTTTTGTAAGTATGATTTTAGGAGCCATCAGGTGGTCCTCAACTTAAAACTATTCATTTAGCGACTGTTTAGTTACAACGCACTGAAAAAGTGGCTTACAATTGGTCATAACATCCCCTATACTCAAAATTCAGGCTCACGCCAATCACCCTCTATTTATGATGATTGCAATGTATCATGTGATCATCATTTGCAACTTTTCCAGTCAGCTTCCGATAAGCAAGGTCAATGGGGAAAGTTGGGTTTGTTTAATGACTGCATGATTCACTCTGCAACTGTTAAGTGATTCATTTAAACAACCGTGACAAAAACGGTGATGAAATTAGGCATGACTCACTAAAAAAACTGCCTTTCTTAGCAATGGAAATTCTGATTCCAATTGTGTCAAGTAACCTGCTTAAATTCTCAACCTTGTTTATTGTCATTGGGTCCCTTAGAGCAGTGGTTGCCAAATGATGGGCCGCAGCCCACTGGTGGTCCGCGAGAAAATTTTGGTGGTCCACAGAGAAATGTCACCCCAGAGCACCCCCCAAAGCAATTAATCCAGGCTGCGCAGGAACACAAGGCTGCCCCGCTCACATGGCCTGCAGAAACCCTCCCCACTCCTTACCTGGCAAACTTGCCTGCCTTAGGACTGAAAATTCGATTATTTAGTGCAGGTAGCTGATGGCAGAAACACAGATCTATGACTGAATCTATGATTCTGTGATCAACTCAATCCACCTGCCTGCTTTGCCTGATTTTGGGTAAAAGTTGCTCTTTTTTAAATAAAAAATTCAATATTTATATACATGGTGTGTTGTGAGTTAATTTTATGAGTTTGCTTGCAAGCAAATTTTATGTGACAGGTAGCCAATGGCAGAAAGATAGATCTCTGAATCTGTGATTCTGTGAGCAATTCAATCTGCCTGCTTGCTTTGCCTGATTTTGGGTAAAAGTTGTTCTTTTTTTAATTATAAAAATTTAATATTTACATAAATATTTATAATATTTACATACAAGCCATGCCCAGCCAGTCACATGACCAACAAGTCACACCCACAAATTAGCCCACGCCCAAGAACTGTTTGTTAAGAAATTTGAATCCCACCCCTGCCTCTGTGTTTGTGTGTGTGTATGAGAGAGAGAGAGGAGAGAGATGTGAGATCAGATCTCTCTCTCTCTCTTTCTCTCTCTCTCCTCTCTCTCTCTCTCTCTCACTCTCTCTCTCTCTCTCCTTCCCTCTCTTCCCCAATGTCAGCAAGCCATCATCAGTCAAAATTCATATTAGTGGTCCCTGGGATTTAAAATTATGAGTTTGGTGGTCCCTGAGGTCCAAAGGTTTGGCGACCCCTGCCTTAGACAATGCTAAAAAAATCAGCTAGTACTATAGATTGATTTGTATAGAAGACTCAAGGTTTAATTAAAACTCAAGTCATTCAAATTTGAAGATGCCTACACAAGACAAAATGTTTTACTCCTCTGAACATTGCTACAATATGTGCTTTTCTATTTATACCAAAGAACATTTTTGGGGGCTGAAAAATATAACTTGGAAAGAAAATGTGTTTCTTTTTCCACTCCTTCCTTCCTCCTTTTCTTGACCCTAAGCCAGTGATATTCCCCGTAACATAGGAGAAGCTAATCTAGATTCAGAAATGTTATAGCAGAACTGTGCTTAGCAGAAATCTATTTTTTTTAAAAAATCATACAAAACACACTGAAGGAAAGAAAGAGCTCCTTAATCATAAGGAACACAGGCCAAAAACAAGTCAATGGATAAAAAGTCAGCAAATAAATGCCATTTATTTCAGAGGTGGCCAACATGGTTCCTACAGGTACCAAATTGCCTATTGGACCTGAAATATTATTTTATAATTGAAATATATGAGTAATTGTATAGAATTTCATGCAGGTTTTTTTTTTAATAGAGGGAGCTTGAAGCTAAATAATCCAATACTAACCCAATTGAATCCAATTTATATTAATTCAAGACTTCCAAGCCGTGACACTTACTGTTCCTACTAAGGGATAAAGGAATCCTGCACCCACGCTGGCTCGGACATCTCTTATGGGTAAGATGAATCCGGTGGGCACTCCTTTCTGTTCTGGGTCATGAGACAATGACAAATGGGTTTTAGCCATGCAGATGGGCAGGTTTCCAAACCCCTAGAAGACAAACAGAGAAGAGTCAATGATTGCAAAAGAAAGGACATACCTTGAAGAGTATGCCAGAAAAAAGTTACCAAATTATACAAAGTCACATCCATTTGGCTCTAGATTTTCTTAGTTTAAGCAGATCAATTGCACCATAAATTGATTCATCTGAGTCTGTTAGATTATCTCTGTCAATCACATGCACCTCTTTTCTAACTATCAAAGATCTTTAGTTTTAACATTAAAAAATAACGTTGAGTAGACATTTTGAAGTTGCATTTCCAATTTATTTGAAGGGTCCCTGCTTAAGGGGCAGGCTCTGCAAAGAAGTGACACAGATCTACTCTTACTCTTTCATTTCAACATTGTCTGCCCCCATTTAATGTTTGTGCCCCAGGTATTGAATATATAAAACATTTTGTAGATAGATCAGTCCAGCATTAAATATATATGGCAGCCAGGAAAAAAAATGCCATCACAGATGTCAATTTAAGCAAGAAACAGGGCCCTTCACACACTCTGGGATATCCAGTAAACTAAATATCCAGTGAAACTGCCAACTTTGAAAAGTGCAAAATGCATTTTAAATGGACCCACAGGAAATTAAGAAGAAAAATCCTTGTATGGCACATAGAAAGAATGCTTCCATATGAATTAATTTAAAATTGTTTGTATGATATATATAATACATAATTAACCACAAAAATCTGGACTGCCATCTGTCAGAAATGGTGTAGGGTCTCCTGCTTAGGCAGGGGATTGGACTAGATGACCTACAAGGTCCCATCCAACTCTGTTAATCTGTCTGTTAAATCCCTCCTACCCTTTTGTATCAAGACATGTTGAATATCATCTCATGAAAGTGCTGTATTAAAGCCATGTCAAATGCTGAAAGAAGTCTTCTCTTCCAAAAGGAAATTTTTCTAAAGAATTTCGCACTAGTTTTACTTCTTAAAAATGTAATTATTCCCAATTCTGCCTGCATACCCAGATAAAATCAGAAGATGCATTAAGTTTAGCCCAGACACAGGATGCCTGTAGGTGTACCTGTTTGGTATATTGAATGATTTTCAACTCAGCTTCTGGCAGCAGTTCAATGTCATTTGCCCCATAGATCTTCTGTGCAATAATTCTGATCTTCTCTACAACTGGCAGCTTGGAACACACAAAAAAAATGGGGAAAATATGTCAGGCTGAGTTTCTTTGATCCTCACAACATACTGAATTAAGACACAGCAACCCTTTGGACTGTAGACAATCACTGCAGTTCCATCAAACATCTTTTTTCAGCAGAAAATGTATTGCAATATAATTGCAACAGGAAAATGGGAAGTTTGGAAGCAGACAAACTTGGCCAGAATCCTCCAATCTGCTACTATCCGGATCTATTTAGATTTTCAGTTCCCCAAACTCCTAAATCAATATGAAAATATCAACACAACCAGGGGTCACTGGCTTGGGAAAATCATTTAGTCTGGAACAGAATATATGCCACTCCCACGGTTATTAGAAACTGCCTTTCCCTCCATAGCTATAGACATAGACTAGGCTGAAATATCACACTCAACCAAAACCAAACAAACGACATTATGGCTTACTGGGAATAAGTAGCTATGGCTTGGTTCAGATATCACACTCAATCACCACCAGCTATGATTTAACATGATATGTGAATTATATAGGCATAAGTTACTTAGGAGGAGTGACATGTTTGAAGCACACACAACGGAGTCTCCCAACTCACTTTGGTTTTTTCACTGCCACATGAAGTGACTCTTCCTGGAAGCCTGGCACTCAAGAGAAATCAGCCATCAACAGGCACATAGAGATAAACATCTACATATCATTCAAGAGAGATAATTTAAAAAGCCAAAAAAGAAACAACCCCCCAACCACTTCCTTGCCAGCAATCAACAGCCTGATAAACAGAGATTAACATCAAGATTAATATTAAACCGACACTCAAGAAGTGAACAATATCCCAACCAAGGGAGGCCAACTGAGATAAACAAACTAACACTAAACAACAGCCTAATCAAGGAATCACCAAGAACATTCCCACCTATACTGACAGGAAAAGCCACTAATATGTACAAAGAGAGCAAACCCCATTCCCTTCTAGCACTGATAATATTACCTAGTTGGGTAATGAAATGTCTACAAGAAAACAGCCAAGCTCAGAGAGTACTAAGGAGCCCACCACCTCTGAGCTATAAATATTCTCTGTTATCAGCCTCTTTCAGCATCTATATGGAGGAAGTGTTGCTACTTTAGCAGATAAAAGTATCGTTGCTGTATTGGGGACTACATTGATTCCTGCACAACCAACCAGGAGTAGTCCAATTGGGCAGTGTTACTGTGGGGTGACAATTACCACATAAACCCATGAAAGCATGACATATGAATGTGCTTTCTTTTTCCTGACTGAGCAACAGTCAAAGCTGTAACATGGTGTGCTGGTTATGACTTAGTGTAGCCTATTCAACAATCTGTGGTTAAAACAACCATAGCTTAGCACAGGGGTGTCAAACACAAGGCCCGCGGGCTGGATCCGGCCTATGGGGTGTTTAGATCTGGCCCATGGGGCCCCCTTGGAAACAATGGACTGGCCCATGGGGCCTCTGCTAGAGAAACAGAGCTCTGCCAGAGAAAATGGAGCAAAAACGGCCTTCTGCAGCCCTCTGCAAGTGAAAACAGAGTAAAAATGGCCTCCTGCAGCCAGCCCTCTGCCAGCAAAAACAAAGCAAAAACAGTCTGCTATAGGCCTCTGCCAGAGAAAATGGAGCTCCTGGGCTTCATTTCCGCTAGCAGAGCACTCGGACTACCATAGGCGCCCCAACAGGAGTGACGTTGAGCTGGCCACGCCACCCTGGCCATGCCAACCCGGCCCTTGAGGTCGAACACAACCCTGATGTGGCCCTCAATAAAATTGAATTTGACACCCCTGGCTTAGCACAAAAGCTAAGATACACATAGACTCTGGGAGGAAAGATGAAGTTAATCTCTCCTCCCCAGGGCCTCTGGGATCTGTTTGTTTACTACTACTAAGTGATGGCAATTCTCCATACTTATTGACATCGTCTTTTTCCTGGAGGGTGGGGAATAATAAAATGTACACTGTGGCATACATATGTTTTATACACAGGTCATGTTGCATGCCCATACAAAAGGCAAAGAACTTTTATCATTTTGATGAAACTTCTAGATCACGCCAATGAATACATGTTAAATGTAGCTTTATACAATTATAAGCCACAATAAGACATAGCCTTTTAAAATTACAACTCTTTCTCTATGCTTTTCCATCGAATAAGTCTCTCAAATCACTCCATGAAAGAAGAGGAAATAACAAGAAACATGACAGGAATGACAAGAAAGTTTCAAATTTATACAGGGCACTAAAATTCAGGGCTGGTAAGAAAGAAAAAATGTGGACAGAAACTTAATGACAGCTAAAACAGCTTGATTTCTAGTGAGTTTAAGTGTTCTTTCAAATCATCCATCATCAAGACACTAAGTTTTAAAACTATATTATTTTCCTCTTGAACATAAAAATCAAGTTCTGGCTACTGGGAACAGCTGCAGATGATGTTAGAAAATAATTTGATTGTGCTGCTGAGTCAAAGACCATGAAACCTGAATTAAATTTAGTTGAAGAGAGCCAGGATATTTGTCTGCATTTATAAATCTGGTTCAGCTAATATCCCCATGGAAGCCAAGACAAATATTTCTGTAACCAGCTGTGATAATCCTGCATATCTGGTCCTGTTGTAACCCTGCTCAATATCCAAGATTCTTCACTTCCCGAAATTATTTATTTAAAATACTGCCTTTCCTTCCAGAGGAGCCCAGCAAATAAAACAGGGCATTGTAGAACCTAGATAAGCAAAAGGACCTTTCCCCAGGGAGTTGTCTTCATCCCAGATTTTTACCCAGCTAAACTTTTTCAACATCTATTAACATATTTCACAGTTTTTAAGCTGCAAGTCTCAAATTTCCTTTGCTGTTCACAATCTTATTTTTAACGGGATTATCACATTTTTCTTAGCCTTCATTATGATTTTGGAGCCAAAGTTGACTCCAGCCGAAGGGCAAATCTTTCAGTGACGGGTACTGTAGAACAGAATAATCTTAAGGCAAAAACACTGATTTCTGCTAACTGCTGTAATTACTTGAAATGATGCGTTTAAAATGACATCCACCCCCAGAAGGCAGGGAAGGGGGGAAAAAAAGAGATCTTCCATTACTGTATTGTCATTTTCTCCATATTGTAAACTATTTGTAAAAGAAATTGTCTTCCTTTCGAATGCTGAGTCGCATGTACATTAATGCATTAATACAATCAGCCAGCCAATCCATCTCACAGCATACCCATTCCTTTTTATACAAAGTTAAAAAAACAAGCCATCGTTTTCATCTATTTGTTTTGCATTTCGTTCCTTAACATTTCATTTCTCCTTATAAGATATAAGCTTTACCTCCACGTTGTACAAGAACTGGAAATGGCTTGGGGCCTGTGATGCCCTTTGCACGGCTTCTGCTAATGCCACAGCTCCTTTACCCCCATCAGCCCAGTGGGTGCATTTGACAGCATCCAAAGCACCAGCTTCCTTAGCCAACCGGATGACCAGCTGTAGTTCTGCCTCTGTATCTGATCTGCAAAGGCAAACATTACCAGGATTTCTATTAGAGTGCCAATATACCAATACTTAACCTTTCAAACGTTTCATTGGCCACAATTAATATACTGGATGTCAGCATTCCAGGGAAAATCCATTCTGTCAGTAACTCCAAGACACTCATCCTCTCAAAGTACTTTTATTAGAATACCACCTGGCACATTCTGTGGAATTCCGAAACTAAAAGTTTTCCCGGGTTCCCCAAAAGGTCCCAACCTACAAACCGTCCCCTTTCCCCTCATCATCACATCACATGAACCAATCCCAAGTAGATTCCAATTCTTTCTGCGCCACTCTCTTTAACCTTGAACTATCAAAAGAAATATATTTTGTCTACTAAGAGCTACTCAATTAACATCACCTCCCTCCCACTTTCTCCAGCTATACGGCAGCGATGAATTCCATAGCTGACACTGGAAATGACCTGCCTCCTATGCTGTACAAAACATCTTTCCAGTTTCAGCATCACTGAAGTTCAGCAGCATGCAAGGACTCCTGCCAACCATGGTTAGTTTGGAATTGTGATGGTTATGGTTAAAGCTAACCATAGCTGTTTCATCATTAATATTCAGTTGGACTGTCACTGTTGTCCTTTAAGAAGTCGCTGGTTGTTCTCAGGCACTGAGCCAAAAAGATAGACAAGGTGGCTATACAGCAATTGTGTACTTCTCTAGAGAGCCATGGAAATAATGTTGCAGAAACCATTAAAGCAAGTAACAGATCCAGAAGTAGCATATGTTAAGCAGGAAAGTACAATACAAGAAAGAGACTCAGACTTAGTAAAATTGGAGGGGGGAGGGGGAAAAGAAGCTACAGATAAACTTGTAAGATTTTGTTATTGGAGCCTATTGTGATAAAAGTGTAGTCTTTTTGTTATAATTTCCTGATTTGGTTTACCTCATTCATTTGGTCCAAAGAGCAACATATTTTATTTTATTGTACTGTATTGTATTTATGATTATTTATTTATTATCTATGATACATCACTTGCTGTTTGTATATACACTGAGAACTTGTGCGTCTGAGACAAATTCCTTCTGTGTCCAATCATATCTATTTCTATTTCATTCCATCCCACCCTATTTTTTTTTGTATTGGGTATTTTTAACCCTTGCTACTAGTGTTGAACTGCCTATCAAGCAGGTGGTTATATTAACTGATTAAACAAATGCATTCAAAATAAAAGAGAAGAATTTGACAAGGGAAAAACACCTATGCAGAATGTTTAATCTTGGTGAAGATCATAGTGAAAGAAAAACACCAACCTCTTTGACAATTAAATACTCAACATTATAACTGAACACATTTCAGACTGAGTATAAAAGCTATATGGGAAGGGTAAAAAGAAAGCAAAACATGGCTAGGAGTCCTGCTGTATTTTTCAGGCCTATAAAACTCCCCAAACTCTTCAAGGTGGGATGGGGAAACAAAGGAACTATTTCCTGTAGGAGAAAAGGGCTGCTTAAGCTTCTTTAGCTGAGGTGATATTCCAGATTTGTCCTTAAGGGAAGGAAAAACCAGTGAATAAACTGATATTCTCTTTTGTTGCAGAATGACACATGCAATTACTTGCCTGCTTCTCCCTTCTCTACACAAAGGAGTCACCACCACAAGGAGGTGCAAAAGTGTGTTGGGTATGCTGGGCTTGAGGACTTGAATCTAGAAGGGCGGGATTTCTGTAGCAAATACCATAGAAGCAATTCAGCTACACTGAACAGAAGATGAATAACATGAAATATTCCTTAATGGATGTAAGAGAAGCTGGGGAAGGCTTAATTTTTATTCTATTATTGCTTGCTGCAAATCAGTAAGCATTTCATCTTCATGCCATTCTGAGATCACCTCTCTCAAATCATCTGGCAAGCATGAAAACGCCTTGCCTGATAAGCCAAGGTTTATTTTTTCCAAGGTTGAGATGGAGATGGAGACATAACACAATAGAGTCATTGCAGCAAATCTCGTTACTGAAATCTGTGCAGTTTATTTACTTTATTCAAAAAAATGTATGATCTCTGGCTAGCTCACAACAATAGTAAAAACCCTGAACCATTAAATGTGAATATTACATTTGTATACAAATAACACAAAAACATATGCAAGAAGGACCAACAGATGGCTTAGGAGGGAGGTAGAAGATATATTCTATTTACCCCTACAAGTAACCTGACATGCGAATATTTACCACATTTCAAATCACCACCCACTCAGCTACCTGCATGTGTGAACCAGGGTTCTGAAAATCTGATCTGAGGGAAACACTTCAGTAATGAGGCTACTTGGCTCAACAGACCTTAGAAAAGATTATATTGTTTCCCAAAATAAATATATGTTAACATTTTATCTGCATTCATTTTTAAAAATGAGGACACGTTGACAGAGTGATAACAGTCCATCTCTTCTATCTTAGATTTTACTGCCCCGTTTTTCTGCATTGTTCAAGTACCAAGAACATCTCTACAAGCTGCCAGTGAATTGTACTTTTAATGTGAACAAAGGAGAAAATTACTAAATGAAGAATAATTACATCAAATCTATTTGTTGTGATTTACATTTAAGTCAAATTTCAATTAAATCAAATTTAATGTTCTAGCTTCATCCAATAATTTATGTGTTGAACCCTTTCTTGTTGAGTACATTTTAAAGAACATAGGTAGATGGCCCAATATAGACCCACCCTTTGTTGTACTATGGACTTCACTGAACTATAGGCTTTGTTGCACTTACTTGAATGCATTGACTGCCACCACTACTGGGACACCAAAAATTCTGGCATTTTCGATTTGCTTGCGCAGGTTACTGCAACCTTTTTCCAGAAGTGGAATATTCTATACATGACAAAGAGAATTCAAGGGATTAGTTCAGAGAAAAAATAAATGGTCAATCAACTGTTGAATGTTAAAGAAAGCTGGAATGAAAATGGTGTGTGTGTGTGTGTGTGAGAGAGAGAGAGAGAGAGAGAGAAAGAGAGAGAGAGAGAGAGAATGAATCTACATTATTTTACAAACTTCACTTTTCAATTCACAATAAAAAAAGGAAAAAAGACAGACTGAACAGAAATGAACAGGCTAAGTTGGATCAATTCTAACGAAAGACTGTTCGCATTCAACTGCAAAGTAGCTTCATTTAAGAAACTACAAAAAAGAAAGAAAGCATTCTTTTAAGAAGCAGAATGGCACAAAGAGGGGGGAAAGGTGAAGACCGTTCTCCATTTTCAGCTGGAAGGCACCACAGTATCCAACTCTCTGTTGAAGAGACTTTGCTTTTGCAGGATGGAGATTTAACAAAGACTGCTCCATGGATTGTTGAACATCCTTCTTCAAAATAGCTAGAAGCATCTTCAGATGAGTACTGCTGATGTAATAATGTTTAAAATCACATAACAATTGCCCTTGATCAAATGTACAAGCCTTTAGCAGTTTTAAGATTCTTCTAATATATATTTTATAAACAGATGTGGTAGAAGGATGGTTTTGCAAATATAGAACCATATGGAGAGGCACAGTGAATGCCCTCAGTGTAAACAAGATTTAGCTGTTTTCCATTCCCCATATTTCCTCATCTTATTTTTTCTGACTTACTATTTTTTATCCTTTTCTGCCCTTTAATAATGACTTAGTTTCCTATGAAGAGAAACATCATAACAAGTACATTTGGATGTAATCCTTAGGTTATTTGCATTTATATCGGGAGCCTCGGTGGCACAGTGTTTAGAGTGCAGTACTGCAAGCTACTTCTGCTGACTGCTGGCTGCCTGTAATTTGGCAGTTTGAATCCCACCAGGCTCAAGGTTGACTCAGCCTTCCATCCTTCCAAGGTGGGTAAAATGAGGACCCAAACTGTTGGAGGCAATATGCTGACTCTGTAAACTGCTTAGAGAGGACCATAAAGCACTATAAAGTGGTATATAAGTCTAAGTGCTATTGCTATACAGCAAAATAGCAGAAAACTGTGCCTCCAAGAAATCAGTGGGGCAAACTCAGGGGGTTTTGGGGGCAGCAAAAAGCTAGGAGCAGGATCCATGCAGCCTGTTTCATGAGCTCCTTATAGTGCTTTGTAGAATATCCACTTATACATGGACTGCTATTTTAAACTCCCATTCTCCACAGTCACTAAGTGTTTATATAAATGGTCCTTGACTTACAATAGCTTATTTAGTGACTGTTCAAAGTTACAACAGCACTGAAAGGAGTGACCGTTTTTCACACATATGACTGCTGTAGTATCCCCATGTCATCACATGGTCAAAATTCGGACACTTGGCAACTGACCCATATTTGTGATGGTTGCAATGTCCCAGGGTTATGGGATCCCTTTTTGCAACTTTCTGACAAGCAAAGACAAGGGGGAAGCCAGATTCACTTAACAACTATGTAGTAACTTAACAACTGCAGTGATTCACTTAACAACTGTGGCAAGAAAGGTCATAAAATGGGGCAAAATTCACTTAACAGATGTCTCACATAGCAACAGAAATATTTGACTCAATTGTGTTCATAAGTCAAGGACTACTTATAGATACTAATTAAGAAATTCTATTTTGACAACAGTGGAGACTCCAGTCCAACTAATCTGGCAGGCGTCTAGTTGAACAGGTTCATTCCTTATTGTGATACCAATCGGGCAAAGCTTGCAATTAAGGCCTTCTTTACTGAAGTGTTCCCTGAGTTTCTCTACCAAACTCCATCTCCATTTTCTTAGCGTCTTGCGAAAGAATAAAGTTGAACAATGACTGATGACCTCCTTTTACTGGTCTACAATAGAAAGCATCCTCACATATTGCATTACAGTGTGCTATGCTGGCTTGACAGCCGTGGACAGAAAGATATTACAGAAGGTGGTGAGCACAGCACAAAACATCGTGGGCTGTTCCCGGATACCACTAGATGACTTTGCTAGGGCTCGCTGCCTTAGAAGAGTGAGGAAAATTCTTAGGGGCGACTCACATCCCGGTCAGCACTTCTTCACTCTCCTAACATCGGGTAGGAGATAGAAAAGCATAGCCAGCCGCACCAACAGGCTGAAGAACAGTTTTTATCCGTCAGCTGTGAGACGTCTGAACAGAAAATAACTTCATGTCAACATAGTATGATAGACTTGCAGGGCCGGCGCGTTTTGCAACAAAGTCACATAGTGTACTAAGACTGGGACTGGATTAGGGACTTCTGTCCTCACTGTGAGTTGTGTTGGGGTGGGGTGCACAAAGGGAGGCTCAGCCAATCTCATTGCACACATAACAATAAAGGTAATAATCTGAACTTGCCAAAGCCTCCTTACATTTTTGATGGCACAATTGTTTTACCCGTTGTTGTTTTTTTTTAAAAAAAAGCTTAGTTTGTGTCGTCTTTTTCCCTGCTCAAAATTTTATTTGTAGAGAGATAAAGCTTTAGCCTTGGTTTCAGCCTGCTGTTTTAAATTAATTCCTCTCCAAATACTTTAAGTGCACAAACACAGCAGGAAAGGGGTTACAAAAGGAATAGATATTAACATGAAAAATAAAGCCCTTGAACTGCTAGGTGGAAGGAAAAGTAGACTTAAATGCTGACCAAATCATTTATTTCATAAATGAAGCCAATGCAAATAATCAGTTCAATTCAGGAAGGAAACCGAGATAGCCGAAAAGGCCACGTGTGCCTATCAATCTGGAATACTGACAGTGTTCCATAGGTTATAGTGGCATGAGTTTTCATAGATAACCTGATTCCAGTTTCAAGAGAATAGGAAGAAACAGGTTGCCAAAGTTACAACCATCTCCTGTGAAAACTTTTTGCTGCTGAATGTTGCCAGCATAATTGAGGGATGATCTGGAAACTACAAAATAGAGAATTCGGAACCATAATTTCAATCAGTAAACCATAGCTTATTGAATCAATAAGTTGTTCAACTTTTTATACCACCCACAACTGCACATCTCTAGATGCTTTACAAATCAAAACAGTACGTTAAAAAAACACCAAAATAATTAAAGTAAATAATTGCCCGCAATTGATCAAATGGGAAGTAAAATATAGATGCTAATTTCCAAAGGCCAGTCAGAAAAACTATGCTTGTTGTATAATGAGTTCTGTGCTTGCACACTTAATTAATTTCCCATGATATGACAGATCCAAAGTCACTCATCTGGCTTTATGCCTAATGTGGGACTAGAACTCATGGTCTCCTGGTTTCTGGCCTGATGCTCTAACTACTACACCAAACTGAATCGTGTGTGTGTGTGTGTGTGTGTGTGTGTGTGTGTGAGAGAGAGAGAGAGAGAGAGGGGGGGGGGGAGGCAGGGAACAATAGCAGTATTGAGATTGCTTTGTTTTATTTTTTTGGCAAGGAACTATGAAATTCAAAAAATAAAATATACATTCAAAACACAATCAAAAGCACAATTATTACCTCCACAATGTATTCTTTGGGCAAAGGGACTCCAGCCATAACCTGAAAAGAATAAGAGCAAGACAATCAAGGAACAAAAATATATTCTCCTGGTATCTCAATTTTATATTTTTGTATTCCAAACTGAAATTAATTAGTAGATTTCTTCATGAATGGAGTTTGGGAAGGAATTATGAAATTCTTCTAGAGTGCATACCTATAATTCTAATAGAATATTTTCCCCATCTGCTTTATATGTATTCATATTACCATTGTTTCTTATTTGAATTTATATGAGAATTTAGAATGTATCTTTTCAATTCAATATATGGCCAAGAAAAAGTGTTCGGATGCAGCAAAATCCTCTATCCTCAAATTAAAAATCATCAGAGTGTTAATAATTAGCATAAGAATACAATTAACTAACTCTCATCTTAGCCCTAGGGCCATCTGGTTTCCCTCTTCCTAAAAATGGAATGTCATATCCACCTCTGATAAGGAGAAACGTATTTCACAATTAAAGCAAATTACCACTCTCAATCACTATAGATAAAGGCAACAGAAACACTCCTAACAGTATTTCCACAGTGGGCCAATGTGACAAGGCAAAGTATTCTCCAATCCATTCATATATTGTGGAGCAGAAATTCATCTTCCCAGATTCTCTGCTTGGTGGAAGAAACAGACTGTTTGTCTTTTGCTTCTCTAATGAATTTGAGGTAAATTCTCTACATCCTGAATACATCCAGCTTGATCCAGATATCTTCCCTGGGCCGATCTGGGATTAGGAAATAGTTGAGAAATTATGCTCAATGAAATGACTGTAAGTATGAAGCAGGGAGCTAGTCTTAGAACCATCTTGATTTGATAGAAAATACATAGATCATTTTTGAGATCAATCCTAGTTCCCAAACATCATATAAAAAGCTATGATTATTAAAAGGCTGTTTTCAAGATAAGAATTGTAATGGAAATTTGTCTAATGGGCTTGAAGGTGTTAGTTCTTAAAGTCCTAAGTGCTAATGACAAGTCCCATGCAGGGAAACAGTGAATTGCTAGATCTGAGAGGAAGTTTTCCAAAGGAAATAGTGCCACTTGTCTATTCAGTCGAATGGAAACTAAGGAAGCTGCCTGTTTATCTGTCATATTTACTGCTAGCCCTCACTTCAGTCTTGCTTGTTGGAAGTCCGAGAGTGTCACATCTGTTTCCTTCAAACTGACTGATATATCTTAATGGGGCAGGTCTCTACTGCCAAATCTGGAATATCCATATTCAGGAATTGTCCAGTTCAATTTCTAGGCCCATACTGATAGCAACTCTGGATTGGTATGTACTGGCCTTCAAGACAGGAGGATCAAGTGTTTTGGGAACTGGGTGTCGTTTTCTTATATCACTTGGACAGCAGAACACCAACTGTTCAGTGCCCCTCTTGGTATATCCTACTGACATAAACTACAGGCTACAGTCTCTGAAGGCCACTCAGTCTGTTCTAATAATTTAAATGGATTTTGTTGTAATATCATCTCTTTACAGAATTTGGTGGGCTCTCTTGTAGGAGATGAACAGATTGAGTTGAAGGGTGGGGTTAAATGTGTCATTAGTTTGGAATAGCCACAAGAGACCCAAGTCCAGCCCCCTGTGAATTCTGCTGACCCTCATATAGCACCAATTGGATGTTAGTTGCTCAGATTCTTGAGTATAGGTGGCAGAATAAACTCTTCATGCTTTGAACTCAAATCCTGTTCCTGGTTATTTGTGTATGACACCCTACTCTTTTAGCCTGGTCTCTGTGGCCATCTGGTCTTTGAAACTGATTGCTAATCTGCCACATAGAAGAGACAGAAATCTTTTCCTGTGGGCTTCATTTCTAGCAACTGAGAATAAAGAGCAAAGCAAAACAACAGCTGCAGCTTTACTATTATTTATAGGAATGTATTTGGTTTGCAAAAGGTCCCACTGGGACAGTAGAAAGCATCCTAGGAGGTTAATTTGCTTCTGGTAAGTGGGTGTTTTGTGATTGTGGCAGCCATTTTGTGAATAGGCAAATCTCCCATGGCAACCATTTTCTAAACGAATCTACCAAAGGACCTCAAAATTTAGCATTCATTTTTCATGTAATGAAAATGCTATGGCCTAGAAAAAACATATCATTTTCTGCTTCCCTTAAAAGCAGTATGTAGTACGGTATCTTCTGAACTGGGAATCATGATATAGAAAAGTTATTCTGGTCAAATTTAAAAAATGCGTATTTCATCCAACCATCGCTAGTATTAAGTACAGGCTCTCTTTTATGCACAAAACATGCCACACTGGAAAAGCAGTACACAATTCTGAACTTCTAGAGAAGAACTTGAATGCATCTCCTTGAATAAGTGGAGGAACCACAAGACATTATGACTCCTTTCTATTTCTGTACATTATGCTAGGTAGCTTTTTGGGGCCCCCAAATGCAATTTACTCCAGGTGTTAGGCTATAGAAATTATTCCTACATATAAAAGCATACACATGTACATAGTCTTCCCCATCACAGCAAGGGAAGACCATGGTTGTATCCTCTTTCATATCATGATATTATGCTTCCCCTGTTTAATAGGCTCCAGGAATATAAAGAAGATGGAAAAAATGAGGATCAAAATATGCAGTAAAAGTGCAATTTGCCATTATCAGAATGCACTGGTGAAAGCTACTTTTTAATTTTACACTACACACACACACACACACACACACACACAAAGACAAATAACCAGTGAAAAGAAAAAGGGTGAAAATATGGGGTTTAAGAAATTACTGAGATGATCTGGGAGCACCATCAAGCAATAATTATTACTTCTGATCTTCCAAAATAACTGAAGTTCTCTGGGGTGAAGACAGCACTATTAAACCATTAGACATTTCTAAAACCACTACAAAAAGATAACCAATAGGACAATCACATAGCACAGAAAAATATAAAATTAAATATTCCAGTATAGAACTGGGCTTAAATTCCAACTAAATGCAGAATTATAACAATATTCAGAGAAGACGATTTCCCCCCAGCACAAATCCAGGCACCAGAAGTGTCTCATTGGAGAAGGCATTTTAAAGGAGATCCCTAAAACTGAGTTATTTTTCCCACTCCAGCCACTTCATTTGGCAGGATACTTGGCTTGCCTCCAAAAGGCCTCTGAAGATGACTGCAAGGCCCATTCAGGTTATCAAGTAATAAGACAAGGTGCCAAGAAATCGGGCAGTTATTATCTTCATCTACCAAAGAAATGACCAGGAATAAGTCTTTCAAGGTTGCTGATGGCAAATCTAGCCAATAGAATTTGGTTGTATTAGTTAAACCCAGCATCGATCATGGCTTACCGAATTCTCTAAGACGAGGATCAGCACTTACCGTGGGTCCTCCACCATGCATTTTCAGAGCTCGGATGGTGGCAACCAAGACTACCACATGAGGCTGCAAACTAGAATACCGACACTTGATGTCAAAGAATTTTTCCATGCCAATATCAGCTCCGAAGCCAGCTTCAGTCACTGCATGCAGAACAATGAAAGTCATTATTATGTACAATCTGCTTTCTTTCTTTCTTTCTTTCTTTCTTTCTTTCTTTCTTTCTTTCTT